TTGAGACTGCAAGCAGCACTGGCTGTGCTGACGCTACAGAAGCCTGCCAGCTGGACCCAAAGCTGCATACCCTTATTGCCCAGAAATACTTTTTCAAATCAAGTGATACACTACCAAAGCCAAAATCTGGAAAGCCGCAAAAGTCTCTGACCTCTGCTGGATGCTCTCTGTGCAACCACCATGTGCTGGCAGACACCATGTATAAAGGAAGACCAGTACAGTTGTTAGCAGCAAACCATCTCTTTCCATCTCACTTTTCTGTGAAGACTGGACTGTGAACAAACACACAGTAGTCAAATAGTCCAAAACCTAAATTTTCAGCCTAGACTAAACATTTATCCTTTTCTCAGCCAAATGTTGTTTGTATTACCTGTTCTTCTGTGGCTGCTATGAGTGTAAACTCATAGAGCTTTCACATGGTCCTGTAGAAGTGACTCCCTCTCTAAAACAACATAAGCCTCTCCAGCACTAATAGCAGTTTCCTTATCCATGCTTGGGACTATGCTGTTTAAACAGGGAAAGACCTGTTCAGGACCACCAGAGCAGGTCTCAGATTTGTTGCAAGCTATTGCATGTAATATACCAAATAACTAACTATACAAACAAATCAAGTTTCATCTTCAGGGATTTAGGTGTCCTGCATAAAATCTTGTTTTGCTCTACTGAGTGCTTTACTGCTTCAATTCCCTCAGTTCTCAAGGTCACCCATTTCCTTCTGAATGCTAGCCCAGTTCTCTTTTGAAGTGACAACACTTCTTAAGTTCATGACATCAGTAACTGGTATGAGCTCATCTGGTATTCTGTGTGAAAACCTGAGTTTTCCATTATTGTGCTAACCTCCAGCTTCTCTTTTTTAAGAAAACCTGATAATTTTTCTTACAACAATTGAATCAAGCATTTTACTGAGACTGAAGCAAATTAGATTTAACTCATTTTCTTTTCCTAGAAAATTAAATTTTCTCCAATGTCTTAACTACTGACCAAAAACAAATCTAAAGGAGCATCACTTCCTTGCATCAAGCCTCTTTTGGTCAATAGACCTGCCACTTGTTGCATAAGTGTAAAAGCTGGCCTTATCTTTATTTAAGAATTTGTTCTCCAGTGCATACCCTGAAGGTTAGTCTCCTGTGAAGACTTTTTAAAGACAATTAACACACACTTCACCACTCATCCTTCCATCACGATTACAAAAAAAAATTGTCCACAATTCTGCAGTCTGACAACATCCAGTCCAATTACATCTTGCAACTACTATCATTATCTTGAATTCCCCTAGATCCCCACTGTTGGGCTCCTAGGTTGACCTTGGCTGCCAGCCAGGTGCCTACCAAGCTGTTCTTTCACTTCCTTTCCTCAGCAGATAAGGGGGAGACTATAAGATTAAAAACTTGTGGTTCAAGATAATGGCAGTATAATGAAGAAAAGCAAAGGCTGCACATGGAAGCAAAGCACAATTTTGCCCCAGATAACTACTTCATAGGAAACTCTTCATGTAGGAAACTCCTTGGGTTACTAGAATGTGTTGGATCACAAACACAGAGGTAATATGGCCATAAATGAACACTTAGTGAGATGTATATTCCTTTCCTTTGTTTCTGAAGTGCCATCATTATGAAACGTCCTTAAATTATTCATAAATCTATTTTAGGAGATAATAACATTTATTGTAATGTTAATTGCTGCCAAAGAAGGGTCCCTCAAGTGACCAACCTCTGCCCATTATCCTCTTTCCAAGCCTAATTCTTCAAAACCTAAGATGCATATGTAGACATAAACATCTCACACCCATTAGTTTAATGGAGAAGTTGACAGACAATTTAACTCAGTCTTCATTTCTCCCCTTTGCTTGACTCAAATTCAACCAAATTCATGTAAAAGATATTGGCCTTTTGATTCTATCCATTATCTCATTTCAAACCCAAGGATATAGAGAATTATTATACAAATACAAAGCATATGGAGAAAAATTCCATTTTATGTAAATATCATCTGCCACTCTGTCCATCTGATCACTATCAGTGGTCTGCTAGTGCAAAAATTTTTTTTTGGTAGGTGAGATAAGGGTGTTTAAAGCAGTAGCAAGGCTTATAAAAGTTACAGATAGATCAAACCCAAAATGTGTCAAGAGCTGATCTATTTTGTCCCTGTTTAGACCACAGGGCACCAATCAGGTAATGAATGATCTGTTCTAACAAACATAAAGAACCCCGAGCATTAGCAGGGAAGCTGAATGATGTGCTATTGAAAAACACTCTAAGTGAGATCCAGTTTGGAAAGAGGGCATCTGAAATTAGTTTCCTATATGTGCACTAGCTGTCCAAGCACCTATTAGTCTGAATGGATTGCTGCTCAATGCAGTCAATGGAGCCTGGAAAGTGCTCAGTACACACTAAAGTAGATGTTTGTTTGATGGCCATTTAAATCTCACCCTCTTGAAAATGAGGACAGACCAGGACCAAATGACAAGCTGATAGGGGTTTACATTGAGCACAGAGTACTCCAGACTGCGTGAAGCATAATAGCTCCTAAACGTCCCTCAGGTAAGAACAACTGAAAAATATGACTTTGTGTAAAAGATTAATTATTTTTCCATAGTTTTCTAATGTGTCAAAGTGAGAAATCTGTGAATACAGTTAGTTAGGTAGAAGGTGCACCCATCACAGACAATCTGAAAGTGCAGCCTCATGAGGAAAGGAGCAATGACCTGGGCCACTCCTAGCCCTCCACCACATTAAAGAACCCCAAGGGAAGTTATACACTTTCCAGTGATTTGAAAGGCCAGAGTTAGGTCCTGATTTTCTAGATTCCGTGCTCTGGGATAGAACTTCCCCTTCTTGGAAGTTAAAAACTCCCAGAAGACGTAGAAAAATGAACAGCGGTGTGACCATTTCAAAGCCACTGCAAAGAGAAAGTGGAATTTCACTAGAAGCAACATCAGTGTGACTAATATTCATGGCACAACATTGAAGAATTAGTGGTTACTGTGGAATAATGGATAGGGTTAAAAATTAAAGAATAAGAATTACAGAGGAAACTCAGCTGCTGCTTCCCTGGTGGAACACAGTCAACATGCCCCACAAAGGTTCCCTAAACACTGATAAGCACCTGGTATGGGGGATGCAACTGAGAGGGGAGTAGTGTGAAGGTGCTGCAGCCTCCCTTCCTGAACATCCTGCAAGGCGGGAACCATGGTGACACTTCGTCGTTCAAAGGCTATGCAGTGTCTGTCCACCAAGGGAGATAGACACCAAGGACAACTACCAAATTAAGTACTTGTAACTGGACTCATTCAAGCTCCCCCTAAATCTAAAGAAATAATATAAAAGTAAGTTGGAAATGGGCAAAAATCAGAGGAAGATTCCATTGAAACTGTGGGAAGAGTCGATGGGCTGAACCTGTCTTCCCCATCCCCCCTAGGGACGCCTATTGGGTAAGAAACTTATTCTGTGCACACAGAATTTATTCTGCTTAGAATGATGTTAAATGCTCAGGACTAGAGCTTGTGCTTAGCTGTATAATACATTGGTAGATTGTTTTGTATTAGAGCTTGTGCTTGTGCTTGCTTTATAGTATTATTAGATTGCTTTAAATATGTTTTTGCAGTTAGGCATTATCACTGATGACCTACAAACCCTATTAACCTGTCACAATTTGCATTAATAAAGACGGTTATTCTACTAGAATGAGTCCTTAATAAAGTGCTGATAGTCTGCTGGTGGCGGAACAACATGTTTGAAGGCCTGCTGAGGGGTCTCCCTTATGCTGTTGGCTCAGCCCTCCAAAAAAGGACAATCAAAACACCCTCTGATCTTCTGAATCTGTTTGTTGAAGAGTTCCCTTATGAGATACCTGACAGACTGGGTCAGACACAAACGGTTTCATTTTCCCTGGGGCACTAACAGACAAATAAATCTCTGTGGGTCAAGAAAATCTTGGCAAATTTTCCCCCAACCCTTTTCATGGGACAGTTGCAAAACTCCTGTTTGGGACTCCTGCATTGTGGCCTTCAGTCTTCCCTGCCTGACTCATAATAATAATAATGGCCAGTCTTCGCGAACGAAGATTTGGGGAAAGGTCTTTTACCTTTCCAGCCTGCGCAATGTTTTTTTTTTTTTTTAGGTGAGATACAGCATGTGCTGAACTGAGCCCACCCTTTAATCCTAAGGTTCATCTGCTGGGGCCAAGCAAGCTTGGACAATGGCAGTGAGGTCCTCAGGACGTAGGTTTGTTTACAGTGACCTCCTCATAGATGGATGGCCTCACAGGGCTAACGGGCTCCATCTGCCCGGGGGCACTGGGATTTGAACCTGGGTCACAGCGGTGAGAGTCCCGCATGCTAACCACTAGGCCACCAGGGGTCCCCATCTGACTCAACAGTGATGGATTTAAGAGAGGAATGGCTTGAGATTTCAAACACTTACCTCTGGAAACAGGCAAACCATAGCTGTGGCTGCACTCCCAGAAGACCGACATGTCTTTGTGCAGTTCCTTTTCACTACAACACCCTTGCAACGGAACTTGGCCTCATTTGTGGCTACCTGATCTCCAGCTCTGCATAGTCTCTGCCTATCTTCCAGCATGGCTAGGTGAGATAGCAAACCTGGAACTGAAAGCTTCACATAACAGTTCAGACACCATATACTAGGACAGCTGCCATAAAGTATGCCAGAAATTCACTGGACTCATTCTCCTACTCTGATATCTGAGTGCATTGGCACCTGCTGGGCCAATTCACTCCCTGCCAAACAGAAATCATGCAGTGCAAGGCATGCAAACAAACTTCTCATGCAATTTCCACCACACCTGGTCCGATACTATTCTATAAAATTTCAAATGTCCCAAGACCTGCACTATGCCAATCCCTGCTTAAATATGTCCAGTGAATAACACAGTGTAAAGTACACTTACTCCAAATGCTCTCCAAAATGTTTAATATGGACATGAAAAGATGTCTTCTGCAGCAGTTTCATGTTAGATTTCTGCCTGACTAGTAAGGCAACTTTTTCTTCCTGGAATTCTGACGCAGATCTTGACTATGAAGTGATTTCAGATGTCTTTGGCAGCTCCTCTTGCTTATTTGCAAGTTATATAATGAATTAATTTTTAATATTTTTTACTGATAGAGCATGGTTTTTCATAGATTTCTCTTCAGTGTTGGCTAGAGTTAGCTGGAAAAAAGTTTATTTGGAATATTTCTTTCACTGAGAAATATAATTGTAACAAATAAGGAAATCCAGTAGATTCTGTTGCAAATTTTTTTGGAGAGAAAAGGGGAAAATGTTCAGCAACTGTCAAAATATTTTGTTATTTTATTATAAAATTATTTTTAAAATTTGTTTTATTTTGTATGTAATACTGTAACATAACATTTGAAATTGTCAAAAATCAGAGCATTTCTGTAAAAATAAAATATTTTCATCAACTCTAAATAATTTTTTTTGACATTATGAGATTTGGAAATTTGTTTTAGGCTCTCTTTTCAATCTGAAATATACCAGATAGAACAGTCACCTTCACTTCAGCAGTGCTGAGCGTGCCCCTTTCCAAAGGAAAACAGGGTCAAGTAGTAAGCAAAGACAGCTGTAAGATGCATGTGACTCCTAGTATTTGAACTTGCCATCAGTTATAGTTGTGAGGAGTTCCATCTGACTGCATATAGCATTTTAAGAGAGAGGGAACAATATGTCAAGATGGTGCCAGAACAAAAAAGGGTGCAAAGATTAACAGAGAAGTTGATGCTGGTGAAAAGCAGTACAAAAGTGGTATAATTATTTGTATAGGAAGGTTTAGTCTGACATTATGAGACATCTGTGAAAACCTCATGCCACTGTTATTCATGCCAAAAGAGCTATATAGCTTCCAGAAAACAATAATTAAAGCAAGACAGGACTCCAGAAAAAAATGAACTAAAACAAAAAAATGTATACTGTTACAGGGAAGATTGTGCCAAAACCCTTGCTTATTATCCATTTGGAAACAAATGCCAAAGAAACAACTATCTTTGTAGTTATCCATACTGTTTTTCCATATGTCTCCAACTGAAGTATGTGGTGCTAAGTATATATGCAGAAGTATGACGTGATAATTACCCTGAGAAGATAAAATATATATATATATAAATGCTAATTAATTTTATACAGAATAGAAAAAAGAATTCTGCATCTGCAGTCAGCAGCTACAATCCTTAAGGAATGAATGTGGAAATACTACTAGTGTCATGATTATTTATAGACTTAAAGACACACATATGTGTCAGATGTTACTAAAGGTTTTTTTAAATTATGGCTGTCTGTCTTTACTGGCATGAACAGTCATGCCTGCCAGCATTTTCTCACTGAACAGTAATAAGGACATCCTGCAGCCATTACTAAGACCCACAGGTGTTACCAGAAAACAAATGGCCATATTCTAAGCAATTCTTCAGGATTATGCTTCATTCATTACACTACACCTCATATTATTAAGAAAAATTACTTTTATAGCCCAAAAGTCAGTGAAACATAAAATGCACATTTATACAGTAAGCCAAATAAATTATTTAGGCCAGGATTCATTCCAATCAACTTCAACTAGAAAGCCAGTCACTCTGGTCTCCATTTATACAAAAGTAATAGAAAACACCAGAATAGAAAACATCTGGTTTTCAGGAGGGTCCAACAAAGACCTGTGTCAGGACCTGGAGGCACACCTCTTCCTGTTGGCTGCATAGCAAACTGAGAGTGGCTGCACCTAAGACAGGGTATGAATCCAGTCTTCAGTGCCAATTCTGCAGTCTGTTTGGAAGCACAATTTCTCTGAAGTCTTTTAGGTGCTTTATCTCACTTATAACCAGTCATAAACGCCAGAAATAATCCTTGAATACTGAAAGGTAAACACATTTTTAACTAGTTTAACCAGGTTAAGGAGGAGGCTTCTCTAGAAATGACCAAACTGAGCTATTGGGCTCCAGAAACCCTGACTGCTTGCTTTGGTCCATTGTTGACTATCTCAGCTCACGCCAGGATCTCAGTTTAGTCCATGGATGCGTGTAGCAGCAAATCTGCATTATATGAGAAAACTGTGGTTTAAACATGTTTTAAAATGGCTTTTTTGTGGTCTCTTTGCTAGCTCATGTTCTTCTTCCCAAAATCCCCCACGGCCAGTTCTTATCTCTGTCTCAGGAATGTCCTGAGAAGATATCAAGAAGTCTTCCCACTGGACTCTTTTAACCCCTTTCTGCGATTGGGTGTTCTGTAAGCCCCCTGACCCTGTAATTGGTCACTCTGTGAATCCTCCAAAACCCTATATATGTAACCACCCCATCAATAAACTCTCCCTCTGGCCTCCTCTCCAAGTCCCGTGTGCTGTCTCTCTGGCTACCATAGGACCACGCGTTGGGGGGAGGGGGAGCACCTAACCCCTCCATGCGTCCAGGACCCGAAGAAACCCCTGGAGCTGGAGTAATCCCTTCCCTATCCACCTCAAACCTTCGGAAATGGAACCCCACAATGGGAGGAATGCAACCAGAACTGGTACCCCAGAGAGGCTAGCCATAGATGCAAGTTTGGATAAAGCTGCTCATGACAGCGTCAACATTTTGCTTTTGTTTTCCTTTTACAACAGTTACATGCAAGCTGAGTAAAAGAAACAATATCTTTAACCTATGTAAAAGGCAGGGTACATAGGGCAGCTTAGTTCTCTGAGCCATGGATTCTTCCACTCTGTCTCTTTTGCTACACTTCAGCTCGGGCTGCTTCCCAGATAGCCTCACAGTTTGAAAAGGAGGACTCATTAGTACCTGATTTCTTTCACTTCTAGTCTCTTGACCACAAACTGTTCTAAATTGCTTTCTCCTTCAGTAACAAAACCAGAGAGAAATAACTTCAAAAGATTCAGAGCACAACATCTGTTAATATTAATGGATAGTAAATGAAAAGGACTTTCACTAGATAATAAATACTTAATATTATTTCATCAAAAGCAATGCCTTTTCTTAATTACCTTAGTTATGTGGATTTTTCAAAAGCAGAAAAATATTGTAAAACCAGGGAGAAAATTGTATGAAATCCAAAAATCTTCTAATTGTTTTGTTAAGAAAAAGAAATGTAGAAGAGCTCAAGAACACAGAAATATATTGTACCCACTGAATTGAAACCATGTTCACTGATTCAGTGGTCCACAGTAGAGGCCACCTTGCAAATATCCTAGAGAGGAATCAGTACTTTGATTGTTCAATGAGATCTTCTATGTTCAAAAAAGAAGGCCTTTTCTGCTCTTTATTGGATCTTTAAAACAAGGTATGGACACCTCCTGCAGCATACCTTAGTGGGTTTTCATTAGGCTGAGTAGACAACCACCACAGTACTGCTGCTTATATTTGTTCAGAATTTCAACAAGATGGAAAATTCCTCTCTGTCTGTGCTGTGCCTGAAAGTTTTCCTTCTTGCAACAGGGTTCTTAAAAAAAGCTTAAATATAAAGTAAAAGAGACTTTACTTAAAATGAGAATTTTGAAGATTGGGAAGTTGTGAACTGTCAATTACTCATCTCATATAATTTTAAGTAACAATATGTCCTGGGTGGTTTGGATCTGTGCCCCTTATTATTGCTAGGAACTAAATTTTCAGGTGCCAGTCATGTAAGACATTTCACATTTAAATATAAAAACAGTTTTCACATGTAGAAGCAGCTGAAGTTGCATGAAATTGAGGTTTCCATAGCCAAAATCCACTCAAAGCAGGTCTACTTAGTGTTCTAGATATATGCAAAAACAATTAATTATTGCATAATAGGAGTTAAAGATGGAACTCGTCTGATGTGATACCTACCTCAGCTACATCTACACTAGTTGCCTGATGCTTCCTTTACAGATAAGTTCTTCTGAAAAATGATTGATTATACATCACCTAAAATATATCAGTTGAAATGGAGTTTAAAGCACGTTTCTTTCTGCTGACTATAAACAGACCTTATAACAACAAGCTCAGATGAACCTGTCTAGGTAGTGGGTGAGATGAATGCCATCACAGGCTACTACGACAAGGAATTCTCTACCAACAACAGGGAATAATGATAGATTTTCCACCTAGGATCATTTGGGGATTATATGAACAGAGGTGTACTTGACTGCTTTATTGAATTTCTCTTATAAGACACATGATCTCTTTGCCTTACCAGGCTCAGAAAAGTCCTCTTGCAGTAGAGGTTAAAAAGGGTGGGGGTTTTTGTATGCTTCTGACATACAGTATCTTAACTCTCATGAATCAGAGGGTTTTGCCTCAATTTTCTAGTGAGGTCAGATAGTAAGGTATTTATAAAGTTTTTCTTTTTTGTCTTTTTTCCCCCTTTTTCATCTGAAGTGTAGGTATGTAAAGCTGAGTAGAAATACTTTGAAAATTCTGAATACACAAAGGTTGCTGCTGTTTTTTTGGTAGTACATTGAAGAAAACCAGGAAACTGTCATCCATCTCTGCATGGGCTTAGCCTTCATCTGGGATACAAAATCTGTCTCTATTATGAATACTTTATCGTTATGAAAGATGTAGCATTGACATCTTGCAGGAAAAGAGCTTCTGATGTAAAACCAATGACCTGACACAATTGTTAATAAAAAGTCCACTTTAATGATTCAATTGCAATGAGTATCCTTCATAAGCAATTTTAAAAGAAGTCTATAACAGCATTAAAAGCCAAATGAGGTTTTAATGCATGACACCTGCATTCTGAGGGCTCAGAAGAGATAAGAAAAGCTTGCTGAATCTCTAGGCAGGATAAAAATTTTTGCTGGCATACTATGACACAATTCAATATACCCACCAGATTTCTGAATGACTTGAATTTTCAAGATTAGTTTCCATCATACATATGTTAGTTTGAGCTACCTGTTCTGGTACAAACAAGGACATCCAAAAATACTGGATGTTTTGGAGTTTTCTGCTCATTTTTCCTCAATTATAATTACTGCTCACATCCCTTACATCTTTCCATAGCCACCCTTTCAAAGAAACCATTGGAAAGAACATTGAGTACTAACCTCAGAGAGTGTTGCATAAAAGGTGGCTGAAAGGACAATTACAATAAAGAAGAAACAGCAAGCTTAGTTAAAAGGTCAGCATAAAATTTAGAAAAAGACCATTTCAATTAAATGAACTGTGTGAAAGCCAAGCTGAACAGGTGGAGATTAATTTGACAGCAGCAACATAAACTTTAGCCTTCAATCGAGTAAGCAAGAAAACGGTACAGATGAGGGCTGAGGAAATTTTCCACAGTAGCCTGATAAAGATACATTTAGAAGCGGTTATGCCTACACTGTGACCTTAGCCGAGGTCTGATCCTTGGTCTATCCCTATCTTATCCCTCATACCATAACTGTAATTAACTGTAATATTTCTGCTTGCAGCGGGTTTGTAGTCAAAGCCAAATTTGGTGAAGTTGTTGTCAGTAAGCTGAAGGCCAGGGATGCTGTTCAGGGAGAACTTGATGGGCTGTAGGCTGATGGGAACATCATGAAGCTTAAGAAAGGCAAATGCAAAGTCCTGCAGCTGGGATATCATAAGTCCATGCAGAAATACAGGCTGTAGACCAACTGACTGAAGAGCAGCAGGTTATTGTGGACAAGCTCAACACGAGCCAGCAGTATGCCCTTGCAGCAAAGATCAACAGCCTCCTGAGCTGCATCAGAAAGAGTACATCCAGCATGCTGAGGGAGGTGATTCTTCCCTCTACTCAGCTCTGTTGAGGCACCAAGAGTGCTGGGTGCAGCTCTGGGCTCCCCAGCATGGGGGAAAAACAGACCTATGAAATGCCTGAGGAGCACTATGAGCACAGGACATAGGAAGAGAGGCTGAGAGCTAGGTTTCTTCAGCCAGGAGAAGAGAAGGCTCAGAAAGGTCTTATTGCTGTCTGCAAGTGCCTAAAGGAATGTTGTAGAGCAGCCAGAGCCAAACTATCCCCAGATGTACACAGTGGAGGTATAAGAGGCAACATTCACAGGCAAAAACATGGAAAATTTCAACTCGATATGGAGCAGGAAAAATATAACTTTAAGAGTGGCCAAATACTGATTCAGGCTGCTCTGAAAGGCTGTGGAGGTGCTCAGACCTTCACTGGACACAGCCCTGACTATCTGTTCCAATTGGCCTGCTTTGGGCAGGGTGTTGGATCAGAAGATCCCTGGAGGTCCATTCCAATCTACATGATTCTAAACCCCTTAAGTCCAGTTTCAGCAACCCCTACTAGTTTCTCCAAATCCCAGTCATCATTTGGGTAAGAGTAAGGATAGTGTGCAAGATGAAGTTGGACAACATATGGACAGTGTCTGCCTCTTCTCCAGAGAGACCAGGGCCTTTCTCTCTTCTTCTATTCCAGCTTAAAACAAATCAGTTCATTTTGAAATATGTGCACTTAAATATTTTTTTCTGGAACAAAGAGAAATAGATGTTTTATACAGCACTGATGCTGGTTTTGATGCAGTAATAATAACCTGAGAAATAAGTCTAGATCCATGTCATAAAATTCACTCTGCCAGACCATAAGGTTTGCAACCTACCTCACACAAGTGGGCAGATTCAGTGAAAGGAGGGAACAAGCCCAAAGCCGCTGGTAAAGCTTGTGAGCTTGTTGTTTAATTGTTGAATTACATAGAAGTGGAAGGTTAACAGCTCTAGACACATTCTGAGTCAGTTCACAATGATGTACATGATACGTCTAATCACTCCAACAAATGCTGCTCATGCCACATCAGTAACTCTTAAGAAAAATTATTTTTAATCCTCTAAATATTCATATATACTTCACACATAGGTAAGCCAATACAGTCATAGGCAACTCGTGCTCCTCTTGATTGCTTGTATCAGGGTGAATTTATGCTGGTACTTTTGGTCTGTGTTTGGCCCAGCCACCTGTAAAAGTTTTGTTCTTTCCCTGCCAAGTTATGAGAAAACAAGCACTGATAAAACGGGAACTTCATCCTTGAAAAGATGACTTGTATAAACTATATTTAGTTGATGTTTTATGATTGGCTAATCATCCTCCAGGGTCGCTTGAAGGAGAAATTGAAAACTATAATGATAAAGTAAACCCCTAGATTCATTTGGAAAAGACCCCCCCGGCTGCAGTATGCAGGCGCAGGGAAAGCCACGCATGCACAGAAGAGATATTACTTGCATAACGGGGGGTGGGACTGAGGGCCTCTGGCTGGGCAGTGCTGACCACACCTGCCTAGGCTGAGGTCACTCAGTTAATTGTATAAAAGCAGATAGCTCATTTTTGGGAGGGAAGCAAGCTTCACATCAAGGCCTTTGTTTTGCGGGGACTCCCATTACATGTGAACTTGCTGACTCTCCAAGGATGCAGCTTCTGCTATGGGTAATTATAGGCATTCTGGGTCGGTAAGATATCTTTATAAGCAACAGCTAGGTGACTGGGGAAGTGTACTGAGGGCTTATTTCTCTCCTCCTTCCTCTCTTTTGGGTTTGTTCATTTTGTTGGTCACCTCTTGGAATAAATATCAGTTTTTGTTGAGCTTTCAATAGTGTCATGGTTTCAGTTTCAGTATGCTCCGAACTCTCCATAATACATTGCTAAAAGTAGGCAACTGTATTTACAGTATCAAAAGTCATTGCAAACATAGCTAAATATATTGATTACAGAGATGCGAACTATGATATCCTGCAACTACAGAATGCCATTCTGCCAAAAAAGGAAATAGTTTACTATCTGCTATTTTATTTCTTAAATTTGATTTACATTGTTGTGAGATCCTGGATCCGAATCTCACCGAATTATTGATACGGGTCGAAACCAACTCACTGTGTGTGTGTGTGCATGTGGGGAAGGGCTGGGCCTGGACCTCCAGGCACATGGTAAGGCCTGCACATCAGACCTGTGCTGAGAGCACAGGGCAGAGCTGAAAGCAAGACCTGCAGCCCACACAGAGCACACGGCAGAGCTGAAGGCCCTGCAGCCGGGCTGTCAGTCAAGGCAGACCTGCCTGGTAGCCCGACCATACTACAGCCCTGGAGCCTGTGACCGGCTACAGCACACCTCACTCTGGCCTGAAGGCACTGACAGGATATCCTGCCTGGGAGGGAAAACTGAACTCTATAAATATAGGACACTCCATGTGGTCTCTCTCTTCTCCTTCTCCAGCTGACACTATGTGAACCCTTGAATCTTGTCAGTAACCATTTTTTCCTTTCCTCTCTCTCCTTCTCTCTCTCTTTACCCCTTTTAATCTGTTTTCTTCTTTTACTCTTTTCCTTCTCTTGTGGGTAACTTAAAACCAGTGAATTGTGTTTTATTAAAGCATATATATTGATTGTTTTTAGTGTGTGTTTCCTGAGGAATAGGTCTTTCTGCTGAATGTTTTAGTGAAATGCTTTTTTCTTGGTTGTATTTTACTCCTGCAAAAACCTTTTGCCAAAATATATTATTTTTCTCACTAAATTAAAAAGAATTTCTCTTGGGGAAGAGTATGTGACTCTTTCTCCGGACAGTAATTAGAGGTTCTGACTAAACAAAAGGCTTTTAAAAAGTCTTAATAAAATGTAACTGTTCTGTGCAGGTTATAGTTTAATCCAGAGTGTTACAATTGTGTTTTATTGCATTATTAATCAAATGCCTATCCAGCACATGATTTTTAGAAAGTGAAGGTTGCTATAAATACTCAGGAATTGGAGACTTCATGAGGTCAACATTGCCATTTCTTGCAAAAAATAGAAATCATAGGCAGGAGACTTTCAAAGTATTTTAATGTGTATTCTTGCCCCATTTATATTATCATTTCATAATAGAAATATTATTTAACCATAGGAGATAATATACTAAAAAATATTAATAATTCAGAATGATTTATCTAGAGAGATAAAATCTCTATGACACCCAGAATATTAGAGAGGATTACATAAATCTGATTGTATTGAAATAATAATTACTGTTCTATTGCTGTAGAATAGTGATTAAAGAGATATTGAATTGTAGTCATCTGTCTCAGAAGCCTCATAAAACACTGCATCAATACCAGAATCATTATCTAGGTTGAGAACTTTTCCTACTTTTGATTTGAACACCATAAAAAGCCAAAGAAAATAAAATTATATTGGTCTTTAATTAACTTAAGGAGCCTAAATACTAAGAAAATAAAAATAACTCAAAATCTTCATGAAGTAGAAACAATGGGACTTACAATATGAGATTTACATATCTTTTTATAAAAACATTCACAATAACAGTCAGTCACCTTTTAATAATTATTGGTTATTACTGATGTATATGTATTAATTGAAGTTAAATTTTCTATGTTACCACTGTGGTTTTTTCACTCCAGTCCATCTTTCTTCTGAGGTGCCCTTGCAATATCAATGTGAAGCTCTGCACCTGGAACCAAACAGTGACGAGGATGATAGTTTATCCAGTATGGAGGTGGCACTGAGGTTAAGTTGGTCTATGCCTTGTGTCAGAGCTGCTTCCACAAAGAAAAAAAGATGAGTTGTTATAGCGAGTCAATAACTAACACAATCCCAGTTTGGAGGCAGGAACTGGAATATGTTATTGGGTTCACAACTTCATATTTAAAGGGTTCATGGTTTACATATTCAACAGGGGGCTTGCATATTCATTCTGTTACAACTGGGGAGTTTCCAGAGATGACATAAAGGGGAAATCCTAAATTACTAACTTTTGGGTCTTAGGAATTACCTCATGGGAAAAAACCACTTTAACTTGGGGGATTTTACAGGGGGGACAGGTATTGGATATACATACGCAACAGGTTACAGAGTATACACATGCAAAAAGGGGAGAACACAATGGGTTTATGCAGAGGTCTGACAACATCAGAGCACCCTCTCCCTGTTCCTTGGCAGAGCTTTCCAAACAAGTGATATCTGGTCTGTCCCTCAAAGAGAGGTTTTTCCCCAGCTTCTGTGACTCCAGGTTTTCTGTTTAAACCTAGCAGTTTCTTTTCTCATATCTAAAATTTGGAATCCAACAAGTTATTGTCACAGGAGACTCTCTTCTGAGGGGACAGAAGGACAGATATGCAGACAGAACCCACCTCTTAGGGAAGTCTGTTTCCTCCCTGGGGTCCAGGTTAAAGATGTGATGAGAACACAGCCCTCAGATTACTGTTCATTGTTGGTTTTTCAGGTAGGCAGCAATGGAGCTGTAATAAGAAGTCCAAGGGCAATCAGAAGAGACTTCCTGAACTTGGGAAAACTGGTTAAGGGATCAGGAGCAGAAGTAGTGCTCTCCTCTGTCTTTCCAGATGGGAAATGGAATGATGAGAGAAGAAACAAGAAGAGCCAACAGATCAATACCTAGCTCTAAGCCTGGTGTCATGGACAGAGTTTTGGGATTTTTGATCATGGGTTGTTTTACAGGACATCAGGGCTGCTGTCAAGAGAGAGGGTACACCTGTCTCAAGGTGGGAAAAGGGAGCCACTGGGGCTCATTGAAAGAGCTTTAAACTAGATTTGAAGGGGGAAGGGGATTAGTTCAGGCTCACTAAGCGATGGCATGCTGGAGAGGCTCTTAGGTCTGCCACGTCAGTGGAGGTAGGGGATGGAGATCCCTGTGGCAGCAAAGACACAGGGGTTATTGATGTGTTAGAAATCATGAAAGTGCCTGAGAACTGTCATGTAGGAAATAGGGCTTCTTCCCTCTAAAAGGTGTCCAGATCAGTGCATCTACACCGATGCACGCAGCATGGACAACGGACAGGAGGAGCTGGAAGCCATTGTGCTCATTCTTAACTGACTCACCCAGTAGCACTGATTATAGAAAAGAGACATTCCTCCGAGGACATGATTCTGTACCACCCCCTAAAGCTGAAGAAAAGATTTCTGTCTTCCCAGAAATGTAAGTACTTACTATCAGATAAGCAAAGGTCAATACCATCCCCACTCCTCCTACTTTTTGAAAATCTATTGCAGGATTTTCAGATACTCTGGGACTAACTCCTTAAGTTACTGTGAAGGACTGAGTAAAGGAGTGACTGGAAATGGAAGTCCTGCTTGAATTTTTGTCTGAAGTATTTGTGAACATGTTCAGCCCAGGAAAGACAGCCACTTATTATCATATACGAGCTCTAAGTACATGAGATCCTTTACAATTAAAGTGTAAGCACCAAGGGTGCAACATCTGGGTTAGGAAGTAACTCCCCCTCTTTTCCCCTTTGCATCCCCAGGGATAAGAACATAGCCAGCTGTGACAGTGTATCCCCTATCTTGAACAAAGATTAAGGAAGAAAAGTTCCTTACTGCAGTAAAATTGTAGTCCTGGAAGTACCACAGTGATACTGTCCCATACCTCACTGCATGCAGCCATATGTTGGCAGAATTACAGTCAGCATTGTTCATAGTCTCAGTAGCTGAGAAACTACACAGGATACAAATATTTATAATGAAACTTTTATGAGGTCTCTTTCTGTTTTGCCTTTAAAGCACTCTTCTTCCTAGCATGACAACTACCAAATATGAGCACAAACACAATTACAGTAATGACTGTTAACAGTAAAAAATGTTGCTATCAGTTAGGTGCTCAGAAGGTAAGGCTATTAACAATCCCTTGTTAGAGCTTATTATGTCATAGAAGAGATCACAGTCATAGTGGATGGATGAAGATGATCAGGATTACACACCTGCAGGGAGGAAGGGGAAGTAATCCATCTGTAAGTTAAGGATAGACAGTGAAAGGGAAAAGATTTAGTTGTATGCACAAAGAATTCAGTGCCAGGAGTGTAACTGAAGTTCATCCCTGTAGGAAATTTCTGACACAAACCAAGAAAGGAATCAAATAGATGGTGTCACTTTACAGTATTTAACACTTTGTTAAATACAGCATGCTGTGTTCTGCTAGGTACAATCTAGTGCAGTATATATGCCATAAGCATCCTTTGTTTAATTGTTATTGTGTAGGAAATAACAAGTGAAATAAGTGGAGCTGCTTAATTATACTGGTATTTATGAGAGTTAAATTCACCCTAAGAAAAATGTACCGCTATCCAAATTAGAAGACAAAGTCATCAGCTACACTTGCTAAAGTTTCAAGCACTGCAGCATTGCAGAACACAGTAAGTCAGCAGCAGCAATCAAGTCATATTTTCCAATCAATTACTCCAGTAAACATGGTGTAACAATTAGTGACTGAATATGTAAAGTTTCAGTGAACCAGATACTATAAAAAATTTACAGTCATTAATATGAAACAGAATGGTCTTAGCTGAGAATGAGACTTGAGACTGCATTAGGACAAAGGTTATCATGGCTAGGCTTCGTGAACGAAGATTTGGGAAGGGCTCTACCCACATTTGTTACGAGTGTGCCGGTGGCTAAAAAGGCCAATACAAGATAGACAAGTCCGGTGTCAAAAGGCACAGCAGAAGGATTCCTTAGGTGGTATCAGCAAGGCACCATTCTTTCTGCATTGTCTTTTCTCCTCAAGAGTGATCCTGTGTGCGTTCTCAAAGGAAGCGGCAGCATTATAGATGGTGTGTCTCCAGACCTCCTGATTGGAGGCCAGAGTAGACCAGTTATGGTGATCAATATGGCCAAGGTTGAAATGTTGTTTCAGGGAGTCCTTGTATCTCCTCTTCGGGGCTCCTCTCTTGCGGCAGCCGGTGGCAAGTTCACCATAGAGCACGATCTTAGGGAGGCGGTGGTCCTTCATCCTGGAGACGTGTCCTGCCTGACGCAACTGTGTTCTCAGCAACATGGCCTCAATATTCGTAACTGCTGGACAAAGGTAAGCAGTTCTTAAAGACTGCTTAAGGAGGTGGTTTAAATTTAGCTGTAGTGCAATCAGGAACATAAGAATCACTTAAATCAACCACCACTTGATAACTTATGTAGGACATAAAAAGCTTGATTCAATTCACACAGGACTATAAGCCTCTGGCTGTACCAATACTTTATCCACAGCTGAGACAGAGTCCTGCACACCACCATCCAAACTGGTAAAATGATCCCTGACCATTTTGAGGCCAAACCAAGTTATTTTCTATTGCAAACAATTCCTATACATAGTTGAAAGGTTAGCACAGGCTGGGAACCACTTTTAATGTGCAGTTTGGGTATGT